TCCGAACCCTCTCCTGGCCAGCCGTGTCCCACACTTGCACCTAGAAAGCAAAGCATAGGGTTCTTGAGGCAGACGAGGGAAGCTTACGGGAGCACCAAGTGCCTACCCCTAAAACCAGGGCGTGCTGCCTCAGGAGCTGGTTGGTTTTGATGAACTACAGCGGGAAGATGCAGGAGACACCTACATCTTACTAGACAAGGATTGCTAGATGAGTTACATAAGCGTCTGGGCATGTGTCCACAGCGCCCAAGACTGTATATGGCAGTGCCTATGCCCCAAAGCTTGTGTAATTCAACCAGCAATCCCAGCTCGTTTAATAAGAGAGATCATGTCAGCACTTTCATTCACCTTCAGCATTCACGGACAAGTGCGAGACTCCACCGCGCATCCCATTTCCAGCCACTGCAGCTGAGTCCAGCACAGTCAAGAGAATTAGCCGCACGCTTTTGGTCCTTGTGCTCTGAGCGAGAAACGTCGCTGCCTGATGGCTGGGTCTTGGTGACTTTCAAACGCCTTGTCAGGCATCCCTCCTAGAGCACTCCGCTGCCAGACCACTCCCTGCCTCTCATCCTCTTCCTCATGCACTTGACCAGCATCCCCACCACAGAAACGAACTGCACAAAATACTTCTCATTTCAGAAACATTCTTGCACCAGATTAGGACATTGGTCTGCCTAATCCTATGCCATAAAAGAGAACCTCAACAATTACACAGTGGTAGGTATAGAGGAGGCAGAGCAAAGAGACTGGTCTCCCTGCTGGTCCTCACAGGTAATGCCGTGAAGCCTGGAACTGGTCATTTCTAACAAAAGCCTGTGGTAAACCCAACACCACCCCTACACCTTACCAAGGCAGCACCTGCCCCAGAGTCCTTCAGAGGGGAAAAATGCTGGCAAAAAAGAGCTGCTGCTCATTCACCAATTCCATGCCAATCCATCCCAGGCCGTTTGATTTGGGTAGAGCAGGAGAGAGAGATGGATGTCTCCCACCTCTCACCTCTCCTCTTGGACTTCCCGGTTACACATGCTCCCAGGGGAAGGCCAGGTTGCTGTCCTACCCTCCAATCCTGCCTGCTGTAGCGCAAATAATATCAAAAGGTAGCAAGCTTGGCACTGTTCTCAAGCTAGCGGCAGTAAGAAGGGCTTCATGCCAGCCTGTGCTACAGCTTACAACAACACATATATGTGGTGTTGGATGGAGCTGGGGAAAGCATGGGGGAAATTAATAACTCTTCTTAAAAAAAAAAAAAAAGTATTTCATGGACAGTTTAAAGGCACAATTAAAATTCCAGTTCTAGTTCTCACTGTGATTAGTCCCTCAACTTTTGATCATCCATCTGTTAGCAAAGTAGCAATATTTGTTTCTTCAAGCAGTCTGTCTTACACCCAGACTGCTGGTGGTACCGATCCACGTAATCGGGCAGGCCAAGATCAGCTGCAAACTGTGCTTCTCAAGTTGTTTCTTAGCAGCTGCTGTTGAGCTGCAGATCTACTCTGACACATCGATCAGAGCTCTTCAGGTCTGAGCTAATTAATTTCTTACAGTTGTTACACTGGTCTACACACAGCAAATCAGTTCTATTCTAGGTCAGCAAAAATCACATCCTTGTAGTGCTTGCTAACACCAGCCTGGAACAGTAACATCACAGGTGTCAAGCCCACTGAAGTCAGCCAGTGTAAATTCCCGGCCCCCCAGCACAGCCACCACCAGCCTCCAGCAGTCTGCTCCCCGAAAGCATACACATTTCTGCATACAGCTCCTTCCTCTGGCGCCCCTGGAGCGTTGCCCCACGCGCTGTCCTGTGGTCCGCCTCCTGGAGCTGGAGGCACTCCTGACACTTTGGAGATCCATCTGTGTTGGATATCGGAACAACAGGACACTAGCAATGTTTCACTCCGCGCTATTGTTCCAGACTCCCTGCAGACTCCAGCAAACAGCGTTTGAACAGCGCCGGTGGAGCCGCGACACGTTCGGAGGGTGTCTGCAGGGCGAGAACGAAACATCCTCCCGCGGCCCGGGGCTGAGGGCTGCATCTGGAAGGGAGAGGCGGCTGGCTGCCGTCCCAGGGGCCAACGTGCGGCCTCGCCGCGGCCGGGGTCGCC